TTAGCATACTACAACATTATATTAATTTAATTATAGAGTTGTAGGAGTTAAAACTAGCTACTTCTATGTTTCTCAATTCCTAATCACTATGGGTCAAAGTATCTATGAAGTCCCTGTACTATAGTGTTTTGTTCAATTTAGTCCTTGTACCTTTATTCTGTTCAATTTAGTCCCTCTACTTTAAAAAGTGGTAAAACTAAGGACAATTTTCTAAATCTCATTACGAACATGGTTGTAATTATTTATTTTGGACATACTAATTTAATATATTGGTGGTAAAAATGATAGATTTTAAATATTTATAAAGTAATATATGAGTAGGAATATAAATATCATCAGTGCCATGTAACCTAAGTTAACGATAATATTAACATCGTTAACTATTGTCCTTAATTGCATTACTTTTGAAAGTACAGGGACTAAATTGAACAAAACAAAAGTATAAGGACTAAATTGAACAAAACGCTATAGTACAGGGACCTCGTAGGTACTTTAACCAATCACTATGACATTTTAAATGTCAACTAATAACTATTATATGTCTCAATTCAAATGATTTGATCTTATAAATTTGACTAAACATTAATAAAATTCTCTTTTTTATGGGCACGGGTACTACCTAATCTATTACAATGTAATATCTGTCTGCACAAAACTTTCACTGGGATTCAAACCTTTTGAACATGTGACTATGTGACCTCCAATTTGGGAGAGCCACAGCTATGCCGTTTGACTATAAGGTCTTTGTTATTAATAAAACTCTATTAATTAATAGCTTGTGTATTGGTCAATTTAGCCTTTAATTAATGAGACCTAATTGGATGAGTGTTATTAATTGAGAATATATATAATGGTGAAGTGGTGGAGGTGTTGGAGAACTTGGCATTCTTGGCAAATGCAAGCAACTTGGTGTTGTACCTATCGCATTACATGCATTTCTCACCTTCACAATCGGCCAACTCCGTCACCAACTTCATGGGGACTGCCTTTATGCTCGCACTCCTTGGGGGCTTTTTGTCCGATGCTTTCTTCACTACCTATCACATCTATATCCTCAGTGCATTCCTTGAGCTTCTGGTAATTATTTTTACTCTTCCATCTATTATATTACATTCCAATTCATTATATTTTTATTGTGTGTATATATATTGGGGGTGTTTAGTAAATAGTTGTTAGCTGATTGGATTAGTGAGTTTGACTAGTTAATATCATTAGCTGATTGTAGAAATAAGTTGATTACATACAAAACGACTCTCAAATAAGTCTAGAACACTGCATTTTATTATTATTATTATTATTGGTCCTGTTTGGTAAAATAGTTAACCTATCTGCCAAATTTGACTTATTTGATCACTATTAACTGTTTGACTTGGTTAAACAATCAATATGAATGTTTGATTAATTAGTTTTTTGTAACAACTTATTGCTTCAAAATGCTAAAATTCAAAAAGCTACTTAAAGTAACTTTTTTGATTAGCTTTTTGAGAAAGTCATTTTGTATGTAATCAGCTATCAACAAACAGTTAATTCACCAAACACTTTCTACAATCAGCTAATACTATTAACTAGTTAAACCACTAACACAATCAGCTAAAAGCTATCAGCTAACAACAATTGTCTTTTACACTAAAAGTCTAGAACACTGCATTTTATTATTATTATTATTAGGCCGTCTAGGCGACGCCTAGAGGGCTCTAGGCCTTTGACTAGCGCCTAGCCCCTTCTGCAATTGTTTGCCACTAAATATATATACTTATACTGGATGGTATGAAACAGGGGCTGGTGGTACTCACAGTGCAAGCTTGGTCTGCTTCACAGAAGCCTGCACCAAGGTGTGATGTGGGCAAGGCGTGCGAGGCAGTCCATGGCGCAAAAGCCGCCGTGCTATTCACAGGGCTGTACCTGGTGGCGTTGGGCGTGGGCGGCATCAAGGGCTCGTTGGCCACCCACGGCGCCGAGCAGTTGGACCAAGACACCTCCCATGGGAGAAAGCAAAGATCAACTTTCTTCAACTACTTTGTGTTTTGCCTGGCTTCTGGTGGTCTCGTTGCTGTCACTCTTGTGGTTTGGATTGAAGACAACAAAGGGTGGCAATGGGGGTTTGGAATCTCCACCTTTGCAATCTTCCTATCCATCCCAGTTTTCCTGTCTGGTTCAAAGTTTTACCGGAATAAAGTACCCTCCGGCAGCCCTCTAACCACCATATCTAAGGTTAAGTTGTTTTTTCCATAAACATCATACAATTGGGCTTGTTTGGTTATCAGCTTACCCGCCAATTTTTGGCTGATTTGATCATCTTTAGCGGTTTGACTTGGTGAAAACCGCTAAAGAAACTGTTTGGTAATCAATGGTTTGGAGCAACGGTTTTGCATCGTTTCTCCTTAGTGTTTTGGGCATTTGCCCAAAACGCTCAATTTAGTCATCCACTATAATGGTGATTCTCTCTTTAATTTAGCTTTAGACTATAGTGATTTTATCCAATTTAGTCATACATTATAGTAGGTTTTCTCGATTTAGTCATAAATGACTTTTTTGTGCTTAATTGGGCCTTAGACTTCAAGTTTTACCTAATTGAACCACCTGTTAGGATAATTTGGTAATTTTTTCTCTATTAACACCCAATTTAGTCTGCCATTATAATGATTTTAACCAATTTAGTCTTTGAGTATAGTGATTTTATCCAATTTAATTCTCGACTATAGTAATTTTTCTTAATTCAGTCATTTGATTCTAACAGCCAACGAATGGAAGACATGTCGCTCAATTAGGTAAAATCATCGAAGTCCAGGACCCAATTAAGCACCAAAAAAAAGATCATTTAGGATTAAATCGAGAAACTCACTATAGCCGATGACTAATTTGGGTATTAACTCTACTATATAATATATGAAATAATTTCCTTGCTTTGAAACTCTACAATCTACATATATACTGCAGGTTCTTGTTGCTGCTGCATTTTTCAAGTCTAATGGACCAAGAAATTCAAGAAACGTGAGCATGACTATAACCCTTTCTCCACCAATCCACAGATCGAGAGAAGGTGATGAAGAACCACAATCATCACTGAAGTTCCCATCAGAAAGCCTAAGATCCCTAAACAGGGCGGTTCTAAACGGATGCTCAGTAGAGGAAGTGGAAGAAGTTAAAGTTGTGATAAAAATCCTGCCCATTTTCATCTGCACAATCATGCTCAGCTCTTGCCTCGCCCAGCTCTCCACCTTCTCGGTCCACCAAGCCTCGACAATGGACACGAGCCTCGGGTCCCTGAAAGTCCCCCCGGCCTCTCTCCCGGTTTTCCCCGTGCTCTTCATCATGATCCTGGCACCGCTCTACGACCACATGGTGATCCCATTTGCCCGGAAACTGACCAAGACCGAGATGGGGGTTTCTCACCTCCAGCGCATAGGGGTCGGGCTGTTCCTCTCGGTTATAGCCATGGCGGTGGCCGCTCTCGTGGAAGTCAAGCGCAAGAGCGTGGCAGCCACCTCGGGGCTATTCGACTCCAAGAAACCGCTGCCCATCACCTTCTTTTGGATTGCGTTTCAGTACCTGTTTCTGGGATCGGCTGATCTCTTCACACTGGCCGGGCTGCTCGAGTTCTTCTTCGCAGAAGCCCCGAGTAGTATGAGATCCTTGGCTACCGCGCTTTCTTGGGCTTCATTGGCCGTCGGATACTACCTCAGCTCGGCTATAGTCTCCATTGTCAATTCTCTAACCGGGGCTCTCAACCACTCCCCATGGCTCTCGGGACAAAACTTGAACCATTACCGTTTGGAACGATTCTACTGGCTCATGTGCATTCTCAGCCTCTTCAACTTCATTCACTATCTCTTCTGGACATCTCGCTACAAGTACAGATCTACCAAGTGAATCTATATCTATAAGAGTACGACTAGTTGAAAACCTGCTCTTAGGCCTTAGCAACTAAGCATATATATTGGGGAATCAGGATAAGTTTATCCCAGTTTTGATAATATTTTCGAATGAATTGCTGGTAGGGATGACCACTGTTCGGTTTGAACTGGGCACTGTGCAAACCGGGATAAACTTATCCTCATAAACTTACTGTCCTAATTCAGCATAGAAGCAATAGAAATATGGTTCAGGCTCAGCATCTTTACTAATAATTTGTGTAAAACGGTATTCATAGAATCAAGATAAGTTTATCCTGATTTTGAATTGTTGGTAGGGATGACAACTGTTCAGTTTGAACAGGGCACTGTGCAAAACGGGATAAACTTATCCTCATAAACTTACTGTCCTAATTCAGCAAAGAAGCAATAGAAATATGGTTCAGGCTCATCATCTTTACTAATAATTTGTGTAAAATGGTTGATAATGGACCAACAAAGCATCATTCACAGGATTAGGATAAGTTTATCCCGGTTTTGAAAATATTGTTGAATGAATTGCTGGTAGGGATGACCATTGTTCGGTTTGAACATAGCACTCTGCAAACCGGTATAAACTTATCCTCATAAACTTACTGTCCTAGGTCAGCAAAGAAGCAATAGAAATATGGTTCAGGCTCATCATCTTTACTAATAATTTGTGTAAAACTGTTAATAATGGACCAACAAAGCATCATTCGTAGAATCAGGATAAGTTTATCCCGGTTTTGAAAATATTGTTGAATGAATTGCTGATAGGGATGACCACAGTTCGGTTCGAAAGGGGGCAATCTGCAAATCGGGATAAACTTATCCTCATAAACTTACTGTCCTAATTCAGCAAAGCAGCAATAGAAATATGGTTCAAACTCATCGTCTTTACTAATAATTTGTGTAAAACTGTTGATAATGGACCAACAAAGCATCATTTATAGAATCAGGATAAGTTTACACCGGTTTTGAAAATATTGTCGAATGAATTGTGACCACAGTTCGGTTTGAAAGGTGACAATCTGCAAACCGGGATAAACTTATCCTCATAAACTTACTCTCCTAATCCAGCAAAGAAGCAATAGAAATTTACTAACAATTTGTGTAAAATGGTTGATATTGGACCAACAAAGCATCATTCATAATTTTATTCAAACACCACATCACACAAAATCTACAAAGAATGTGCACTTAGGAAAGGTCCAATCCTAATATATCGAACAACCATGATTAATACCTTAAAGAACAAAGCAGTTACAACGTTGTATTATAACTACGAACTGCTGGCACTCATCGAGGAGCCTCTCACGGCAACCCTGACAGCAGCCACAGTCCCGAACTGGCTCCTGTCAGGTCTCAATCCATGTTTCTCTTGGGTATTGCCCGCATCTTCTATTTGAACGCCAACAAAGTATGCAACCTACACAATGGTTCAGATAGATGACAAGTCAAAACAATTTCGATATGGTATATACCAGTGAAGGACAATATATAACATAAATCCCGTATAGATTTCAGAGTACATTTTTCCCGGTCCCATGTATGATTCTTCGTGGGGTTATAAAAGTTGGCACCTTATTTGCATACCTAAAATTTACCGGGATCAAGTGCTTACCACTACGCCAAAAGCTATAGCTAGTAGCGAAAACGCAACTTTATTTCCTTATACTGCCACATTTTCGAGAGGTAGGGTGCTGGACTTGTCCCTTCAGGCCTCCGCCCAACAATCCCCTAGAAACCTGGTGCTGGACTTGGCCCTTCACCGGCCTTCGCCCAACACCGTCTATTAACCATAGGGACAACATCTATCTTCTTTATCTTCACTTCTAGTTTTGAGACAATCATTTCAAGACTCGTCAAGTCTCTTATAGCTATGGCAATGGTTATGCTTCTATCTCCATTTAAAGGAATGTGGATTGAGAAAGAAATGGAGGAATGTGGTGAAAACGAATTCGTAGATTATGAAATAACAGTTAGATGTTCGAATAGCTAGATCAACAAATTCGTAGATTATGAAATACAAGGGATATTACCTTGCCTGTAGCATTCCGAACAGGTGAAATATGCAGGAAATTCCAAAACGGTGTCCTATCTTTTCTGCAAACAAAAAACAAGCAAAGATTTAAGAGTAAAGATGCTGAAAATTTTTCTAAATCAAATGATATATATATTCAGCAACCAACCTGTAATTTAAGATACGTACTGTGCATATTTGTTCTGTTCGAATGCATTCTTTTATCTGAAAGATAAAGGTTAAAAATGTTTCAAGTATTTTCTCATTTCAGCATTCACCCCAAACCTTTTCTAGAACACAAAAAGATTTAGCAATGAAGAATTTATAGGAAAGATCGTACCTGAAATTGAGTGAGTGAATCAGTATCAAGGCCACTTAAAAATCTACAGTTGCGACCCAATACTTCATCTCTACTGTAGCCTACTTAAAGAAGGGAAAGCAACAAAATAGACAAAAACAAAAACAAAAATTACTAAGAAGATATAGATGTTATTTCTTTTTCTCAAGCTTTTTTAAACAAACAGCTGAGAATAGTCGAAATATTATAGGCACCTGTCAATCTTAAGAAGGCATCACTTGCATACACGATTGGCATGTCAGGTATGTGGGGATCAGTTCTGCAAGTTTGTAGAAATATTTACGGGAAAAAAAGTATAATGTTAACAACCATTTTCCGGAGATAAAGCATATTAGAAAAAGAACTGAGAAATGCATAAAAAACTCACAGTACAAAGCTTTGTTTGATTCTACCAAGAGATAATGTTAACGATGCACCAAGAATACCCGCCCTGGGTGGGGAGCATCTCTTTCCAGACACCAATCTGCCAGTCAACTCAGTATAGTTCATAAGAACAGACAATATGTTGTTAAGAGCGGCTGTGGCTTTTCTCTTCTCTAAATCACTTGCCTCACAGGGATCATCAAGCTCCGGTTCTATAGATGACAAATTCGGTGAAAGAAAACTACTCAATTTGACAGGCCAAAACATTATGGAATACAAACATAAATTTAAGAATGAATGACACAATACAATGTAAACAACGGTCTCCATCAAGTACCATATGTTTCTAACCACAAGAGGAGGCACCGTTAAACCTGTACCATACTCAGACTAATCCCCGTTCGCACCAGGCCAGCCCAATTAAGGGACAAAGTGCTGGTCATATTGGTTTTTCCATACGAGAGGGGTTTTGAACTCCCAATCTCTCTTAAGGATAAGAGTGCACGGCCACTCACGCCAACCAGATTTAAATACCATATGTTATGATTCTAGACATTGACCAAAAACTTAATAACCCACAAAAATTTTCGAGTTACAGATGAAAAGTATAACGATTCTTGAATATCACGCACCGGGATAATCCAATTCAGGAACTGAATATTGAGATAATGCAGGTCCCGGTTGAGAAGCAGAATTCAAGCAAACGTCTCGCCTACAACACCTGAACACAGGCTCCCTAAACCCCGCCCCGTTTTGACACAAATTTATTCCATTCCTCCCTTCCCCACAACCAGATACCCTTCTCTGCCTCTTCAAAATAGGAACTTGGACTGCCAGAAAATGAATAACCCTCCCATCCTCACTGAACACAGGAGACATGTGAAACACCATCCAAAATGGTGTCCCATCCTTCCTATAGTTCAACAAACTGATTTGAATTGCCCTCTCCTCTCGTATCGCCTCTCGAATTTCCAAAACTGACCTCCGGTCGGTCTTAGGGCCCTGAAATGCCCTCCCATTCCTACCAATCACCTCATCCTTGGAATAACCAAACAGTTTCAAGAACCCAGCAGATGCATACACAATTGGATTGCCAGAAATTGAAGGATCAGTTATGGTGAAACTATCAGGCAAGCTATCAAGGGCATCTCTAACCAAACTCGAGTATCTTACATTAAAGGACTGCTCAATCAAACCCAGTTGTGATTCCATCTCAAGTCTACTGTTTTTACCTTAAGGATTGAATCTTTATCAAGAAAGATTAGCCCCAATCCCATGTGTCACTCTCAGCTATTTGAACTCCTGTTCAAAACCTCCAGCTTCAACCCACAGAAATACAATTAAAAAACAGCTAATTAGTACTACACAAAACCATGGATAGAACACAGAAAAAGAACGTTTTTTTGTGGTCAAATTTTAGGAAAGAAGCTAACATTTGATACTAAACACTGTATTGATCTTACATGTCCTGTGTGGGAGTGAACACTGAAGAAGAAGAAGAAGAAGAAGAAGAAGAAGAAGAAGAAGAAGATTGACCCAAATCTTCTCGACACAAAAATATCTGAAGCGAAGTTGCGGTTCGAATGAACAACAGAACTTGAGAGATGCCCATCAATCGATTTCGTCACTGAATTATGAGAAGAAAGATTGGTTCTGAGAAAGAGAGAGAGAAAGTTGTAGGCTTGTAGCTCCCAACTTGCAAATCACAAATTGCCAGATTTTTTATAGCATTTTGGTACAGTACTTAGTTGTGGTCAAGAAATAAGTTTGTGTATTTATTTATTTTAGAAATATAAAAAGAGCTCAAACCCACGAAATTTATAATTAAAAAAAATAGAAAGAATTATCAAGTGAGTGAAACATAATTCTCGATTCTTACTATTAATATTTATAGCCAATTACACATAATCTATTTAATGTGATTTACCTCTCTCTTATATAGTTTGCGATTTGTAATTTATTATTATACACTAATAGATAGAATTTATCCAACATGCATCCTCAATAGTAGCTGCAATTTTCCTCCTTATCCAAAAAATTGATCAGAGGTGATGGCTTCTTGGGCTGTGAATATACAGGCAAGAGTGAAAATATAAAGACTGATTGTGCGGTTTGTGATTTACCTCTTCTAACACTCATCTTTGCGGGTGTAGGAGCTTAAAAGCCTAATGTATAAATATTTAATTTTAAAAAAAAAAATCTGACATTAATTTGGTACAGTCACGGATGGTCCAGAATGATATTCATTGAATGAGTTTGCCTACTCTGGATAGCTTTCAAAAATCTGAATGAAGACTGTGGCAAGCACATTCTGTACATGCATTTAATCATTTTTGTACTTATAAATAAATTAAAAACACATCACACGATAATTACAAACTTATAACATGAAAACTGCAGACATATAACCGATTAATGGTAAGTACTAAATACTCATATGTTAACTGCGGACACATAATATATTAACCAACATCTTATGTGTCTGCGGTTAACATATTTTGTACATGCAGTTAACAATTTATGTATATGTAGTTATCATGTTATGTGTCAATAATTATCATGTTATGTGCCTTCAATTTGTTTACATGTACAAAAATGGTTAACTGCAGATACAAAATTTTTGAACAAGGTTCACAATGCAATATGAACCATAGTCCATGGTATAACAAAATGACCTGCTATAGCAGGTATATAATAATATAATAGTACATCCTCTCAAATGTTTTGTCCGGCCGGAGTGTAAGGAGCCCTTAGGGTTGGGGTTCAACCTTTGGAAGAATATAATAATACTTATATTATGCACTTAACATGAACCTAAACAATCTCTAACATCAGTCTCTATTTTTATTTTTTTTTACTTAAATTTAGTGAGCATATTTATATTTTGTGACAATTATACCCAATTATAATATCTAGTCATAAAAATAATTCAATTTGATTTAAGTATTAATTGGTAGTTATAATATTTAAACATGCTTTTATATATGTATAAAAATATTGTTAAAATAGTTTAATTTGAACTTTTAATTGTATAAAATATATTTTTTAAATGATGATATGTTGTAATTCTTTAAAGGAAAATGCTAAATTATTCTGGATGACTCTCCCGTGAGACCGTCCCACGAATTCTTATATGTGAGATGAGTCGAATCAAGATGAAAATTATGAAATGTAATACTCATACTGAAAAATGTAATACTAATCAATAATAAATTGTTTGTTACTAATAAGAGAAAGTGAAATATTTTTTTTTTTAATTTTAAATACTGCTTACTGAATTATTGAACTAATCCACGCAAACAAACCAATAACTGAAAAGTCAGACAACAGAAACAACAGAAAGAAACGCATAGAAGCACCAGCGCATGTACTTATCCTTCCACGTCAACAATGTTAAAATAGTCCAATTCGCTCTACCTGTCACACTATTTCCACCTTACATTCTTTCTCTATTCTTAAAGAATTTATTTTATTTTTTATTTTTCCATTTTGTTAAAAATTTCGTGTATCTACAAATAATTCAATTAAGATTGAAGAAAGGTCACAAGATCGAACTCTGATAGTGGGATTTTGACTCTTTGGACTGTAATTGATAGAGAAAGTATAGATCAAATATTATCTTGTAATAGAGTCTATAGTACTAAAAAAAATAGATTTAGGGAAACTTTTGGTAGTTAAGAAATTTTAATTTTTTCTTTAAATATAAAATGTGAAAAACATTATTCCATGTTTTGGAACTTCTAAATTATCAAAATGCCGTTTCGCTTATTTTCCCTCATTGAATTGCTTTAAGAGGGTGTTTAGTAGCGGAAAAGATTGCTTTCCGATGATTTAAAAGGGGCTAGTGTTTGGTACAATCTTTAACTTAGGAAAGTTTTCATGTCAATAAGAACCTAATTCCATGATATCAAGGAAAGAAAATTTCACATAGGGAAGGTAGGATTTTTTTTTTTTTTTTTTTTTTTTTTGCGGGTGATTGAAAATCTACCATATTTATTCAATTATGTATTTATTCATTTTAGCGTCATGATAAAAATATCTTATAAATATAAGAAATTTGTCTCTATGGAAGAAAATTATTCTCTCAACACTTTTTTACATACATACTGTTTTGAATTTTGAATATTCTTGTTCCATACTAGAATCTTTTGGCATATGTTCCCGTCGACCACATTGTCAAACTCCAATGATCCGTGCAAGTCAAAGGAAAAGCAGTTAACCAGAATTAAAAATAATAATAATAATGGAGCAAAAAAGTGAATAATAATAATAATAATAATAATTGAAGATAATAAATTGCACTTTCTTAAAATAAGTTTTCATTAAAAAAGTCACTAGAATGACTAAAAGTATTTAAAATATGATAATTTAGAATATTAAATGACAAAAACGATAGCTCAAAATTAAATTTGAAATTGATGTCAAATACAAAGGACTTTTGCTGGAATTAATTTTATTAAGTTTGTTGATGATTATAAAAATTTACTAAGTTTAGTTACATTGATATTTCTAGCAAATAATATATATTGACTAAGGAGTAATTTTTATTTTTTTTAATTCTTGACACACTTTTCCAATACTTGTAGTAACATAAATTTTGATCCATTTCTAATAAGTAGGCGAATAGGTGTATATCTAATATCTACTATCTATCTACTATATATATATATATATATATATATATATATATATATATATATATATATATATATATATATATATATCTACTATATACTAATAAGAGGCCAAGAGAGTTAGGCCTATAATGGGTAGAAAAATGGCGGTCAAGTCTTTCAATCAAATGAATGGCTCAAATTGATCAAATTTTAATTTTTTCTTAAGATTTACCAATTTATCCTTAATGAATATGATTATCCGTTAACTTTTTCGTTAAATATTATCTTTTCCGTTAATTTCTGTTAATTCACCGTTAACTTATTCATTTGATTTCAATAAGAAAGGTATTAAGTTTGAAGTTCGAACCTCATCCCAATCAAAGTTGGCATATTTAGTACTCTATTTTAGTTTTATTAAATTAAATAATAATAATTTAGTAGTTACAACAAAATATAATACATATGCATTTCGATCTTTAATTTAGAATTATGTATCTATAATATTTTTATTCAAAAAAATTATTCATTATCAATAAATTAAATAAGAGAAATAATTTCATTAGTTATATTGTCTTTATTTTTCTCCAATATAAAAATTCTTTACATTCAAATTCATCAATTGATTATATTCGCTACATTGTCCCTACAATGTCTTTATTAAAAAAATATATGTATTCATTATCAATAAATTAATTAAGAGAAATAATTATATTATATTATATTGTCTTTATTTTTCGCCAATGTAAAAATTCTTTACATTCAAATTCATCAATTGATTATATTTACTACATTTTCTATTATCTTTTTTGTGCACTATTTTTTTAATTAAATATCGAAGTTATAATACAAAATAATGTTATATATTTATTTACCAAGTATTTTATTAATATCATGAAAAAAGTTAAGAAAAATATAATTAATAAAGCCAATCATATTAGCTACTTGAGGAATTTGTTGACAAAGAGAGTATTCAAATCATACAACAAATTGAAGTGAGAACTATCTCGTAATGTTCTTGTTTGAGAATCAGTAGTTAGCGGTTAGCGTTAGCGGATTATATTAGCTGATTTGACCAGCGAATTATATCAACGGTTGGTAAAAAGATATTTGAAAAATTTAGCTTTTTAGATTAACATGTAAAATGACCTAAGGGTATATATATATTTAATAATAATAATAATAATAATAATAATAATAATAATAATAATAATAATAATAATAATAATAATAATAATAATAATAATAATAATAATAATTGTTTAAAAAAATAAAAAAAAAATTAAAAAATATAATTAAGCCAATCATATTAACTATTTGGGGGATTTATTTACAAAAAGAGTATTCAAATTACAAAACAAATTGAAGTGGAAAACTACCTCGCAATGTCCTTGTTTGACAATCAACAATTAGTTCTTCAATATTAGTATATATTTAAAATTTTATGCGCTAATTTTTATTTGCTCTCCCTTTATGTCCCGTATTTGGTTTCAATTATTTATGCATGAACAATTCTAATATAATTCTGTCTTGATATACTTTAAAGTACTTATTAAAAAAGAACATTGGATATTATCTCAATCGCGCAATGCGCGTAAAAAACTAGAATTGTTAGGCCTATAATGGGTAGAAAAAATGGCGGTCAAATTTTTTAATCAAATGAATGGCTCAGATTGATCAGATTTTAATTTTTCCTTAAGATTTCCTAATTTATCCTTAATGAATATGATTATCCGTTAACTTTTTCGTTAAATATTATCTTTTCCGTTACTTTCTGTTAGTTCACCGTTAACTTACTCATTGATTTCAATAAAAAAAGGTCTTAGGTTTGAACCTCATCCCAATCAAAGTTGGCATAATTAGTACTCTATTTTACTCTTATTAAATTTAGTACTCTATTGTACTCTTATTAAATTAAAAATAATAATTTAGTAGCTACAACAAAAAATAATACATATGCATTTCTTTAATTTAGAATTATGTGTCTACAATATCTTTATTAAAAAAAATCATTATCAATAAATTAAATAAGAGAAATAATTTCATTAGTTATTGTCTTTATTTTTTTTCAATATAAAAATTTTTTAC